ACAGCCCTTTACGCTTTTCCTGGCTCGGCATGCTAGCTTTAGCTCTATGGATAACATTTTCGATGTCCAGACTAGTAACAGCATCATCCGTCAAAGGTGACTCTCAATCCTACCAACAATGCCTTGCTGGCCTCATTATTACTGGTGTGGAATCCCATCTTTAGCACTTGCTCCAATGTGGAGCCATCTAGAGTGAACAGTACTGGTCCAACCTCAATGTCATTTGGATTGGCGAATTTGTTGACATATAGGCACCAGTGTGTATTAGTATTCACGGACTCTCGTGTGGCCTCTTCCAGACTCAAACTTTCTAGAGTGAACTCCATGGCAAAGTCAGCTGGCACTAATCCCTTGATGGTAATCTTTGATTTGTAAATTAGGCCATGTTGCCCCAGCTCGATAGCCTATTTGTTGACTCTAATGGATCCATTTGGATCATGGAGGATCGATTAAAGTGTGAATTCCTTATTGCCATGTCATCACCAAGACCTGGAATGAATAGAAATAAAGCCTGAGCTTCCTTGCCGCCATGACCAAGGCTAGGATCAACTTCTCCATCTTACGAGTATCTCGCCTCTGGTCCGAGAATAGCTTTCGACACGAAGTATACAAGTATCTAGCCTTCCAGGTCTTCTCATACTAAAGCGATGCTAACTGCAACCTCAAATACAACTAAATACAAGTATAAGTCCTTACCAAGGATAGGTTTCATACAGAGGGGTGAGGACAAGTATTCCTTCAGCTTAAGAATATTTATTCACACTCCTCGCTCCATAATAATCCTTGATTCTTTTTAATGGCATTAAAGAAAAACTTGCACCTATTTGTTAGTTTAGAAAGAAACAACTAAGCAATGCAGCCCTGTGCGTAAAGCTTTATATTTCTTTCACCTTCTACGAGGACCATCTCAACGATGGCTCTTATCTGCCCTAGATTAGCCCTGAATGCCTTTATTGGTCACCAAGTATTCTAAGAATTTGCCAATTAACATACACTACTCCTGATTAAGTTTCATTATATCATGCCTCTTCCCCCAGTAGTATGCGACGTACCTTTATACAAGTTTCTTAGTGTCTTGATGCATGGTTTGCTAGTAGTAGCCTGAGTTAAGAGCTTTATGAGGTAAGGAACGACCTCTAGAGTGGTTGCAATAAACGTTTTTGTGGATCATGTTCAACACCTTCAGGTCTTCAAGAGGCGCCACACTTTCATGCTTCTTCCGGTAAAAAAGTTCGGCTCCCCAAGTATTAAGCCATGGGCCAAAATCCTTCAGTTACCTAATTCTTGATAAAGACTATTGTGACTAATTCCGAGAAACACCGGCGTAAGTCATCATGCACCCATTTACACCAGGGTAGCCAAACCCATCCACTTTTGGATATTCCGGCAGTTTACTCTCTCCCAGAGGAAAACAAATGCTGAGAAGGATGTAAAATATTACTTTATCCTCTCCTGGAGGAGACTAGACCCTGAGAAGGGTGTAAAAGGTCAATTTACCCTCTCCTGGTGGAGAGCAGTCCCCAAAAAAAGTACAAAAGATCTCCTTCTCTTAGATGAAAACATGAAAGTTGTTGTTGAGTATGCAGTCAAGCAATGTTTAGGAATGATTTCTCTAATTTTCATTGAAAATAAGTGAAATGTATCAAACTTAGTGCTTCATTATTCATAGTTTCTGCTTCCTTCTTACAATGTCTTCTTCTTCAAGGATGTTGTGGGAAATCAAGGAGCAAGAGAAAGAATTGTTTAAACAAGGGGAAGAAATATTCAATCTCCAGGTGGCCCAAAATGAGATGGAAGAAAAAGAGGATGAGGAGTGTAGAAGGAGAGATGATGAAGTAAGAAGCCAAAGAGCCTCACATTCCCGTCGAGTCATCCAAGTTGTGGCTTAGATCTACAGGTCCAGTGATTCCGCAAACCTTGATGGAAGCAGGCAACGACGAGGTATGGATCTCTTGGATGATTATTTTGTCTGTAACAGTGCATTCCTTGATACGTACTTTAAACACTGTTTTAGAATGGAATGATATTTATTCAACAAAATCATGATTGTTATTTGCAACCATGATTATTACTTTGTGCAACAGAAGGATGTTTTTGGTGTTATGGGCCTCATTCTTGAGCAAAAAATTACTGCTGCCTTGCGGATGCTTGCATATGGAGCATCTGCATACCAAGTGGATGAGACAGTAAGGATGGGGAAATCAACCATTCTTGAGTCCCTGATGAGGTTTTGCTCCGCAATTGAATCTCTCTACATCGCAGAGTACCTCCGGAAACCTTCTGAGATGGACTTGCAAAGGCTTCTAAAGAAGGCTGAGATGCGAGGGTTTCCTGGGATGATTGGAAGCATCGATTGTATGCACTGGGCCTAGAAAAACTGTCCAAGTGCATGCCAAAGAGCTTATGGAGATAGAAAATGAGCAAAAGGTATCATTTTGGAGGCAGTGGCATCATTTGATACATGGATTTGGCACGTTTTTTTTCGGTGTTTTGGGGGCTCAAAATGACCTCAATGTCCTTGCCAAATCCCTAGTGTTTAACAATCACCTGCAAAGAAAAGCACCAAGAGTCACGTACTGGGTCAATGGACATAAGTACCACAGGCCACACTACCTAGCAGACAACATTTACCCAAGGTGGTCATCGTTTGTCAAAACAGTGCCACGTCCGTGAAGTGCAAAGGAAAAACACTTTACAAGCTGTCAAGATGGGTGTAGGAAGGATGTGGAGTGTTCTTTTGGTATCCTCCAAGCTCATTGGGCAATTGTCAGGGATGCTGCTAGAATGTTTGATTTAGAGTCGCTTCGATTCATCATGATGACGTGCATCATTCTTCACAATATGATTGTGGAAAATGAGTATGATTATGATGTCGTTGATGAATATGAGCCAGACACGATGAACAATTCCAAAACACAAATAATTGTGCTCATGATGCCACCGAAAAACCCGTGCAACATGAGCCATTACAAAGGGATGGATGTTACAATGAAAGGCTCATTCAACAATATACTGCGATTCAGGACCCATATATGCACAATGCCCGACAAATTGATTGATAGAGCACCAGTGGGAATTGAAACAAGCTCAAGAAACTTAAGTTCATTTAGTGTGTTTGTTTTTATTTGGTGTGTTTATTTAATTTTATTTGGTGTGTTTGTAATTTTATTTGGTATGTTTATGTAATTCTATTTGGTGAGTTTATGTCATTTGAATAAAGATTCTCTTAGTTTAAATAAATTACCAAATTAAACAAATATACTCTTAGTTTAAATAAAGTACTATATTCAATAAATTGGAAACAACATAAAGTACTCTATTAAATAAATAAGAAATTACAACCCAAAGTGATTGGAAAATTATGGGCTCCGATTACAAACAAAGTGATTGGAAAATTATGGACTCGTGAATGGAAAATCATCACCTAACCAATTTGTTGTGCTAGGACCATCTCCTCTTGCTCTCACTTCTCTTGCAAGGCTTATTCACACCACGTCCGCTTTCTCCAAATTCCAAAAAAAATTAGAATTTGGAGACTTCCCTTCTAAAGGTGTGTTCATAATGTCACGATCTCGTTGAACCCTTCTTTCTTCTCTAATCTCTTCCCTTTCTTGCCTAAGTAGCTCTCTTTCTCTCTCATTAGCTTGAAATAATCTCTCAACAACTGCAGTTTTTGCCTCCTCTCTAGCCTTATCAGCCTCAAATTTAGCCATTTCCCACGCCAAAGTCAATTCACCTTGGCAAACAAGTTCTTCCATATATTTTGCATAATCATTCTTGGAAGCACTCCCTTTTCTCTTTGAAGCTTTCTTATCTTGAGGCCTAATTGGATAGCAGATCGACCTCGACGCTTGTTCAGGGGGGCTTTCCGGCACTTCTTCTACGTCATCTTCATGAACATGCGAGGCATGATCGGGCATAGAGTGTAGAGGGGTACTGTTCATGATAACTTCTTGACCGACAAACACAACTCTTAATTTAGGACAATTTTTGACAATATTCCAACATTCCACCGGTTGAATGATTTTTTTTGCTTTTGGTTTTGGCATTTTACCAAACTTGTGCTTGAAGTGTCTACACAATGCGGGAGAAGAAATAATTATAATCGAAGTAGCTAATGTAAATTTGGGTATAGTACAAATAAATAAATAATATATTGTTACCTGATCCGCTAAATTTTCCCCACTTCGAAGATTACTATTAGCTTGTGCCAAGGCATCTCTCCACATGCTAAACGATTGGCTGAGTATTCTCCAATGATTGGACATCGATTCTTTGGTTCTTTTCCCACCAATTTTCTCAAGATAATTTGTATGAATAAGACTCCACATTTCTTGCAACTGCATCTCATTACTCGTAATTGGATCATGAGTAACTTCAACCCAGCTAGAACACAATGTAACATGTTCAATAAGCGTCCAATTCGTACCTGTATCTAGGGCTAGGTTCGGTTCTTAATGGTTCAGTTTTTTGTCAAAAGTGAAATCGAACCGAAATTTCGGTTCGGTTTTTTTTTTTTTCGGTTTTGGCCTGGTTTTGGGTTTCATTTTTTTTTCCCCTCAAAAAAAATGAAAATTTTTAAAATATGAAAGAAATTTTAACATCTCCAAGACTCCAACAATCATAAGGGAAGTTACCAGTGATGTTTCCTTTTTTCCAGGGATGGGTCACGGGGGAAGTTACTAATTAATCTAAAAACATAAAGTCTCGTAAAAGTCTAAAAAAATGAAAAATTTTGAAATATGAAATTTTAACATCTCCAACAATCATAACATAAGAATTCCAACTAGAATCAAAGATAATGAAAATAAACATTTAAAGTCCAACTAGAATATCAAGTCTTCCAAAGTCCAAACTTAAAATAAACATCAAAGTTTAAGTCTTCAAAAAGTCCAAATTTAAACATCACACAAGTCAAGTCAAGTTAATAAACCTTCAAGGTTTCATCATGAACTTCATGTCTTGCACAAATAAAATCTTCCAAGTCCTCAAGCTCAAGCTCAACGCTTAGGCAGCCTAAGAGGCAACATAGCACCTTTCTTTGAGCTTCCACTTGCCATTTCTACATGCAAATAAAAAAAGAAAGAACATGATGTAAAGCAAGCATGCAATCTAATTAAATTAGTCTAACAAAACCAAATGCAATAAGTAAAATTACCTTTCTCAACTTCTTCACAAAACTCAATCTCCTCAATGGTTGGCTCATGATGTAATGCTACATGAATTGACCTAAGACAATTTCGTGTACATATCAAAGCCTCCACCATTTTTGGACTCAACGAACTACGATATGGATCAATTATTCTTCCACTTGTGCTAAGGGAGGATTCCGAAGCGATGGTTGATACAGGAATAGCTAAAATCTCTTTTGTAACTTGTGCCAAAATAGGATACTTAGAAAGCCTATTCACCCTCCACCAATTCAAGATATCAAAGTTTGCCTCTTCTTCCCGTTCATTAGGATCCGAAAGATACCTATCGAAATCATTGTGCACAATACGGGCTCTCTTTGCTTTTCTCATTTCACTTTTCTCTTTCAACTTTCTTTCAATCTCTGTCATGCTTGATAAAGGATCTCCACTTATAGTTGCCGATTGAGAACTACCACCACTACTTGTGCTTTGTTGTGTTTCAAAAAACAACTCTTCATGAATTTTGTAAAGATCAAATAATAAATCTTTCACCGCATTGGTTGCAATTTCAACTTTTTCCTCATCCTTGCCATATAGTAACTCATAATAATCAACCACCTACTCCAATTGATGGCGAGGATCAAGCACAAGTGCAACAAAAACATATTGATTCATATCCTCAATTGAAACCCAATATTTGTCACATTTTTCTTGCATCAACATGGAGATCATAGACAAGAATTCATTATCTTTGTTTTCAAGGAGAAGACTTTTGATCTTAAACAAATCACCGAAAGTAGTATGAATTGTTGGAGTATTACAACAACACACTTTTAAAGTGACTTCATAGAAAGGTCTCAAAAAGGATGCAAATATTCCTGCCTTACTCCAATCATGAGTAGAAGGTGGCCCCTCCCTTATATTATCATGATTTTCTGTAGTAAAGAAAGGAAAGTAATGACCATCATCTACTTTCAACCTATCAAAAGCCATATTGAACTTCAAAGACGATTCCAACATTAATAATGTAGAATTCTACCTGGTAGGGACATCTAAAATCACAAGCCTTTTGCTTTCTATTCTCACTTTCTCAACACACCTTGTAAAGCTCTCCAACCTTTGAGGGGAAGATCTTCCATACCTAACTGCATTACGAATGCTTTGTATGGCAGTATTCAACATCTTTATCCCATCATTCACCACCAAATTAAGAATATGAGCAACACACCTCATGTTCAAATATTTTCCATCGTGCAAAAGTGCATTAGGAATTCCTCGCCCACTTATTCGATGCACCAAATACCTTAAGCTGGAATCATTTGCCGAAGCGTTGTCAACCATAATAGTTAACACCTTCTCTATGCCCCACTCCACCAAACACTCCTCCAAAAGTTGAGCAATGGATTCTCCTTTATGATTTAGAATGACACAAAAGTTCAAAATCTTTTTATGTAACATCCAATCATCATCAATAAAATGAGCGGTGAGAACCGTGTAATTTGTTTGTTGAATAGAAGTCCATGTATCCATTGTTAGACACACCTTAAATGTCTTCAACTGACTTTTCAATTTCTCCTTTTCAGAGTAAAACAAGCCAAGTACATTTTTAGCTATTATCTTATGACTAGGTACTCTCCACAAAGGACACGCATGCATGCAAAAATGACAAAAACCCTCTCCCTCGACGAAAGAAAAAGGTAACTCGTCTATAATTATCATCTCAATGCAAGCCTTAGTAACTTTCACTTGAGAAAAACCTATAGCTTCCAACTTATCTTTTGTGCCAGCAAAGGTTAAGATCTTTTGCCTATTTACAGCAAATATTTTCTTATTAGGATCGTAGCTCCTACATCTAGCTAAGTGATTTCTTATACTAGTTGTGCCATTTTTATCTGTGTCGGCAATATATGATTTGTTGCAATACTTCCACACTCCTTTAACTTTACCTCCCTCAATTGTCCTATCCAAGTGCTTCCAAATTATAGACCTTTCATGACTTTTTAGTGAATCCAAGAGAGTGTCTTCTTTACTTACTTGATCACTTGAGCAACCTTCTTTTGGAGTTGCATCGGAGGATTGTTTGGATCCACCATAAGTAAGAGGAGCTTGTTAAGTTGCCACCATGGGGAGTTGAGGTGGAGTTGAATCACCAACAATGTCCTTCAAAAATAATAGAAAGAATCATTACAATTAATTATTAAATAAACTGAGACATAAGAACCATAGAGAAAGTATAGAGATGACAACTCACTTGTGATGGAGTAGACGTAGATGAGTTTATTTTTTCACGGGAGCTATTTGATGATCTCATTGAGTTTGAGCTTGAGCTCGAGGCCTTTGATGCACTTGACTTCATCTAATTAAGATAGAAAACATATAATAAGCAAAGGTAGGATGCACATGGAAAAGCTACGGATGCACATAATAAGCAAGGTCTATGACTATAATCCTTCTATATAAAAGCAAGGTCTGACTATAATCCTTCTATATAAAAGCAAGGTCTGACTATAATCCTCAAAAGATACAAAACATATAAGATGGATTAAACTAGTTATTTATAGTCTCAGACACAACAAACTTTAATCATTCTGCTGTTGAGTGACAGATAATTAAAAGTCAAAATCAAACATATTTTGGTTCTCTTTGAAATTTAGTATTACTCGAAATACTAATTTATTTGACATTTGAAAAGTAATCTGCAACTTATAAGTCATAAAGCATTAATCCTAATCTACAACTCAAAACTTATATGTCATAAGTCATAAAGCATTAATCCTAATATGCAACTAATTAATTCTCCTCCCCCTTCTGCTGTCGGTCGACACCTAATTTACCCAATTCAATAACCCTAATTTCCCCAACAGCACCCCCATGTCTCCAATAACCCACATCGACACTCCCCACTCTCTCCATGGACTCGAAAAGACTCACATTATCCCGAGAAAACCCTAGAGTGAAAGCTGTAGAACTAAATCCAGCAGCATACCCAAAACAAATTAATCAAACCCTACGTACTCTCACAAATTAATCAAACTTCAACTAATAGTCTAATAGTGTTCAGAAATGAAGTTACCCAACCAAATCCAGCATACCCAAAACAAATTGCAAAACCATGAAATTGAAAAGCTACATATCAGATTCATCAAAACCAACGAGATTGAAAAACAAAATATGCAAAATGCATCTGGGGGGTGAGAGACTAACCTTGCAAAGGAAGGAGTTTATGGGTCAAGACTCGAGACTCAAAACAGCGAGAGAAAGTCGTGGGTCATGGGTCACCGGTCATGGGGGTGAGAGACTGAGAGTGAGACGGCGACAGCGAGATGTGAGATAGGTCCCAGGTCGCTGGGAAGGAAGAAGATGAACTAGAAAAATGGCGGAGCTGGGAATGAGATGGTCCAAGTGAGAGTACATACAGAGGGATAAGGGAAAGGGAATGAATCAATATGTTTAGGGTTTCAGATTGAAGAAGGCATGCGCCGTGCTACAAATTTGACTGAATGACGCTGTTCAAGGGAAAAAAATATATATTACGTTATAATTAAATATGAAACGACGTCGTTTTGCCTATACTTCGGTTTGGTTTGGTTCAGTCCTGTTTTCGAACCCCAGAAACCGAACCGAACTGAACCAGATTCTGTTTGGTCTAATTTTACACTTTCAGTTCAGTTTTTTTAAGCCTTGGTTCGGTGCTCGATTCGGTTTTCGGTTTTTGATTTTTCGAGCCCACCCCTACTTGCATCATTAGACATTTTGTTGGAAAACAATTGGATTGAAATTTTGAGAGAAATAAAGGAATGTGGTTGAAAGTATTTGAGAAAATATGAAATTGTGGTGTAAGGTAGAAGACAATGAGAAGGTATTTATAGAAAAGTAAAATAATTTTTTTTTAATTCTTCAAATTATTTATTTTTTTTTTACATTTTTTATTCACATAATTAATTTCTGTCATTGGATTAAAAAAATTTTGAAATCCAACCCTCTAGATTGTGCCATGTGGCACAACGGTAATATTTCAGTTTTTTTTCTGTTAATATATTTTTTTTAATTTATAAAGGCGAATAACGTGGACCGTTGATCTCAAATCCAACAGCTGAAATTAATGAAGGTTTTAATTTTTGAAATCCAATGAATGCGAAGAAGCCACGTGTCCCAGCCAATGGTAACATTTTAGATTCTGCGCCACAGGCCCCACATCTGAAAACCTGTCAGGGACGCGCCCCCACGTGCGCTTGAAGTGCATGCGCTTGACACAAAAAAATCTTAAAGATGGCTGACATCGCCCTGACGTCAGCGTTGCATCACCTCCACCTTTGGCCACAAATTTATGCTGGGCCTGTCGCTTGGGCCTCCTCCAGCGCTGATGCCCACATGGGCTGGAGTTCATTGCCCCAACAATTTGGTCCTATGCAATCCACGGTCCATCGGGCTAAAGCCCCTGTTGGACTTGCTTTTAGAGCAGTTCCACTGAAGCAAAAAGAGGCCAGCACCTAGTGGAAAAAAACATGCTAGGACTTAGCCAATCCACTCCAGCCCGTGTGTTTGCCTGGCAACCAGCCCATTTTTGGCAAACTTGGGGACCGGCCTCCTTGTGTTGTTAAGCCTGGCGCGTGTCCTACACGCGCGAGTCATAGCGAGTAAGAGACAACAAAATCAGAGGTAGGGCCCAGCAGCGCAGGCATATTAACCTCTGCCCCGGGTGGGCGACGTGGCCCAATGTCTACCGTTGGATTTCCAATGGTAAAAAAAATTTGAATTTCACTTTTAAATTGGACCGTTCGATCACAGATCAACAGTGCACGTTTTTTCCCCCAAAAAATTAAGAATTTCACTTTTAAAAAATACAGAAATTTTTTAATAAATTCAGAAATTATTATTATTATTATTATTTTATTTTTTAGAAATTTAAAATAAAATTATTATTTTTTATTATTTTATAATAAAAATAATAATATTTTAATAAAATGGACTAGGCTATTTTTTTTAGGGGTGGAGATGCTTTGGCCTATTACTGTTCACTGTGGTCTATTACTGTTCACTTGAGTGGATAAATGGGTTGGGTGCTGGCGCAAAGTCTTTAGGGGTGGAATTGCTCTTAGTGGAATTCAAATTTCATCGAGGAAAGCAAAAGGTTCTGACATTGGTAATCGGCCGGGTTAAATTTGTAGTCTGTTTCAAAATGGGTTGTTGGGTTTAATTTTGGCACATTGTACTTATGGAGGTTTGAAAATTATGACCATATTTGATCGCTCGTATAAGAGACTGGATAAGACTAAAAATATAGACCTGTTTGCTTGAAGAGGTTTTTTAGTGTACCAATAACTCAGTCTCATACACACAAAAATTTCTCGTTTATCATGCCAACATCATTGAACAATGTAGACAATTTATGGTAGCCATACTGTTTGCGTGTTGATTCGTGCCTAATGGGAGAAGGACGTTGTTACAGACGACCTTGCTAATTGAAGTTATAATATGAATTTTGGATATCATTATTTTGAGAACCCACATGAATGGATTGGAACTCATTTGTTTGATTATTTGTTCGGAGTCTCTAAGATTCGAACTGTTTGTAATAATTTATGGGGTAGTTACATTCTGTAACCTCAAGTTTGGATACAACTTCAAACTCTTACATAACCTTTAAAACATTGCAATGTCATAGACAAACTTACTATTTCATTCCAATTTCATGCATCTGTATCATTTTCTGTTATTTCCTCCATTATTTGAATATGTGGAAGTTGTGGACCCCACATATTTGTGCCACAAGGATTAAAAAAATAAATAAATAAAGCCTTAAAATGTTCAAAATTAGAAAATCTCATTTCTGGAAAGAAAAAAAAAAAATCAGCAACGCTTCCCGGATCTCCCAATCTCATTGTCCACTGAGAGTAAATATGGAAATCATGAAAACGTGTCTCAAAATGTTGTCTAAAATGGTGTTCCCCAATTCTAACTCTTTATATAGAGAGATAATTCGATATAACTCCATAAACGTAATCAATTATTAAGGCACTGTCTATAAAAAATTGTACATATTTGTGCCTTTCAAGTTGTTTGGAGACTTGCAACCGAGTTCCTAGATTAGAAACCTACCCTCCCAATATTGCTTGTATATAAAAAATAAAGAACGTCATGATTAACTATACTACCACCCCAAAAAGGCCAAGAGGCCATAAGCAGCGCTGAATATTCACATACTACTTTTAGTTAATCCAAATACTCTTGCATGATTATTCGTTGGTGGTTCTGATACCACATTTACAGCGCTAGAGTGGAGAAATGTCTCAGCTTTTACGACATCCAAGGGCTATGAAAAAATTTCGAAGGGCAGTAGCCGGCTACAAAAACAAACATAACAGAAGATGATTAGTTGGAATGCACTGCTTGGAGGCTCTTCGTTTACATCCTCCAATTGCATTACTATTGCCTAGTGTCACGGGATGACTCTTTAAGCCTTCCGCCCGTGCGGCACTTAGACTTGAGAACCTCGATGAACAAGCTAAGTAAGCCTTTGAAGCCTCGCT